CTGACTAAGGCGTAGTGGAGTAGTTTATTGTGAGTTTTGGATTGCCCTAAGTCTACTTGAAGAGTGCCGTGTTTACAGCCATATGGTATATTAATCTAACCATGCAATATCCTCTGTCAACCAGAAAGCCTGCAAGATTTTATTGAAGAGATTCATCTGAATGTGAAACTGCCACATTGTTTTGTAATGCAATGCCTCGTTATAACTCAGAAAATATTGCAAATATTCTTCCTTCTGAATATTGTCGTGGGAAAACCCCCAGAAGTATACTGTACCAGTTACACTGAAAACCTCTGAAAAGTGTTCAGTACCAATTGCTAAAGCATGGTCGTTTGTGATTTCCAGTTTTTGAATAACCTGTATATATATATACATGAATGCATTTCTTCATAAGTCATGTATCTTCAGAGCTTTTCTGTGCACTGCATGCCTGTAACTTCATGTCTGACACATCACTTACAGAAATTTTAGAAGTTTTCTCTACCAATCAAGTTGTACAATTTAGATTATTCTGTACATGCACTTTATTGCCTGGATCCTTATTTGTTGTTGATCAAGCAAGATTTGTAACCTAGATCCTTATTGGATGTTGATCAAACAAGATTTGTAACCTTGATCCTTATTGGATGTTGATCAAACAAGATTTGTTTCCTGGATCATGATTGGTTGATCAAGCAAGATTCGAGCACAATTTTTATTTGTAATGTGTCAGATGTTGAGGTGACAGTCTTGTGTTATTGGGTTGATTGCTGCAGTTTTAAACAAACATATTTCTATACTACCGGTATTTGTGGTTGTGGGAAATCATTTTCAACAGTTTGCATTTGGCAGTATATGACTATTATAGTTGATGTAGATAATGCTAATATGTTTTGTGTAGGTGCCCAAATGTAATAGTGTTCTTTGACAGCACATCAGTTGCATTTATTGCTAATCTTATGTTGTAAGGCTAGTCAGAATTGTTAGTACATAAGTCAAAATACAACAGAATGATCATGGAGGCAACTCCAAATTTGCTATCTTTGTTTTTGCTTTCAGACCTGCATGCCTCTCATTGTTGAAACATTTGTGAAATGTGCTTTTCCAAAAAAAAAAACTAGCTGTGTGTATTAATCTGGCAATGTGTTTAGAAAGAAAGAAGGAATCCATAATCATCTGCCCGTTTAGCTCAACTCTTTCATGTCCAGTTCTAGGCTGTTTTGAATGTCCCATTTTAAAAATTGACTTCTATTGTATCTCACAGATTGATTTGTCGCGCAGTTTAAATTTTGTATGAAGATAAATTGTAAATATCACTTGATACCAAAATCTTCCACTCATTGATATGTTCATTCTCCTTATCTGTTCTCAAAAATGTGTTGATGTGCTGTCAACGAACGGTCATTGCAAGTTATTTGACTGAAATAATTCCAGTCGATTTTTAAGTTATTAATGAATGAAATAAAAGTTTTTTTGTGATCTGTGATATCAAAATATTAAAATTGATGTGAGAATTTGTTTTAGTAGGATTAAAAAAAAATCCAAAAACAGAGGATCTATACTTGTAATATATACCAGTTATGAAATGGACAACATGTAACAAAATAACTATGTGTTCAAAGTTAGTGAAAGTATTTATTTGTGGATTGTATGTCTTTGTAGCAAGGAATTCCAGTTTATAGTGCGATTTACCACAGGCTTGTACTGAATGTAATATTTCCAAAAGAATGGATAAAATTCCAATATAGTTACAAACCAAATGTTCATTTGTGGTCTTCTTTGAACCCTTTGAATATTGCTTAAAAAAAAATGCAATAAACATTACAAATAGGTAACCTAGACAACCACAAACTGTTTTATTTAAATAGATTCGTAAACTAAAATTTGTTAGTATTTCTAGTATTCATCTTATGATTTCATGTTGCCATAGTAACAGACCCTTATTGCGATGGGCATTATGTTACGCATGTTGTATATTTCACATGGGACCCATACTGAACATGATGTGTCATTGTGACCACTGACCTTTAAAAGTTTACATCTTCCATCTGTGTATGCTTCGTTAGGGATATACATGCTTCATCGCTGTATACTATACATGCTGTGGGCGGGTAAATAATGAACACAATTTCTCTCACCAATTCAGGTAAGGAGTTTTTACTGTAAATTGTGACAAAATGTTCTCTTGAAAGAGATTCAGTGTCCACTATTTGAAATTGAGAGGGGAGTCCTTTTTGTGACATGCATAAAAATAATCCTTTTACGATAAAGAACTTGCTGAATTATTCTACCAAACCTTGTTTGTTTCAAGGGTAGCAAAATGGTGATCAAAATTTCCTATCAAATTCCCTCTTGATCTAACGTTTGATTTATTAGTTTGAAGAAAACATTTTATCTACCTTTCACGACAAAGATTTTGGTCACCAGAATTTTGCTCACTACTAATCCAACTTTTTTATTTCAAAGTGTAGGCCATGTCTGTTCCTGTGTCTGTTATGACCGTTTGGTCACCCCCTGCCTCTGTTTGGTATACTGCCCTCAGTGGTAATACTTTGAAATCCTCTTGAATAAATCTGTGTAATTATTTGCACCAGCACAAGGATAACTCAAGGTTGGGATTGGAGCACCGCAGTGGGCGCAACTCACGCGACCTCGCCAGGCTGAGGGATAACTGTAGAGATGTAATCTTGTCAACGTGTATCTGTTCAATGCACAGTCCACTGTGAAATCATAAACCTAAGGTCTATGGTGAAATGAAGTGCTGGGTGTAAATGAATATTGCTCATTCATCCGTGGATATGTGTATTCATATTCATGATTTTATTATCCATTGTTTACACCAGTGAACCAATCTGATTAACGTTTATTTTTTCTTTCTTCAGCCCCGTTTAATATTCCGATCTGTCCGTCTGTCTGTCAAATCTTGTTCAACTGATATTACATGAAATGAAACTTGTCGCACAGCTACAAGAGTCGTGTTCACGCTACACCATGGTTACTAGTATAGTAACTATG